TGACTGACTCACATACTCATCCAATCAGATTCACTTCCAAAACCCCTCCCCCTCTCTGTCAACCACCAATCATACCACACTTGCCTCTCTCAACCACTCTAGTCTATCTACCACAGCCATGCAACCAAACTTTTAAAGAGACACACACAGAGAGACACAAGGAATAATTACAGTAAGAATTAAGCATTACACATTTCTTCCCCTCTCCACTTCCGCTCTACAGTAGAGAAGCCACAGTCAAGGTTTGGAAATATAACTTGGCAGTGTGATACATCACTGTGGCCTTGGTAATCTACATTACTTGCTAAAAACAGATATTGAGAAGAAATAGTATACTGATGGTATTTTACACTTCTTATGTATACAAGATAAGTAGAGATAAGTAATCTGTTTACAGCTGTAGTACTATACACCTGAGGCGCCAAAATGCAACACTATTTATTCAGCATAATCTCCTGTTAACAATCTGTGCTCTAAAAATGGAAAATGTATTTATTTGATCCTGTTTTTATAAATCTTTTGACAAAAGACCAGTTAACTTTCAGGAACATAAACAACCTTGGTTATTTGATACAGCGACAGAAATATATTTTGAGAGTGTATCCAAAACAGTTACGACCTGTACTGCTCTTCAGCTCCGGCCTCATTAAAGCTTACTTTTTCACAGAATGTTACCACACTACTTTACCTAATGAAAACACAGGATCTTCGTATAGTTTTTTGCTGACACTATAATCTAAAGTGTTTTACAATTCCTAAAAAGCAAGAAGTTCAAGATACTGAAATAGTATACCTACACACTCACTTCTAAATACTCAAGGATACTGTGGCACAGCCAACAGCAAATGACAGGGAAACCTATTTTCAGTGCATACGCAAGACACATAAGTGAGCTGTTTGCAGAATGTCACAATAATAAGCAAGGAAACAACTGGCTTTGAGAAAGATATCATAACCTCTACTGAACTGTAATCAATGGACAATACTTGATTATGTAAGTACCTATGCTGGTGTTCAGGTATTTTCAGACAGAGAACAAAGTAACACTGCGTTAACTGCACCAATTAAAAGAAACAATACAGGGTGATATAATTAAAAGCTACCATTAATACAACCAGGTTCTTAATACCACATGGGCAAACATAAGTCAGGCAATTTAGTAACTCAGATGGTTGCTGTTTTCTTTACAGCACATATTGGGAACTGTCTTGTACCCTTTTATAAAGTAAATAAATACAATTTTAAATAATGTTTTTCTGTGTACTGAGATTTTTTTTAAGGAAATATTAATGTTAGAATTAATTCTAAGACTTTGGAGGGAATAAATAATCATTAGGTTTAACCAGTCAGATCCAGACTGGGAACCTAGTAGCTACCCCCCCCCCCAATTAACTCTTTTGTTATTTACCTTTTAGCATGGTCCTCCCAGTTGATCCTCCTACGATATTTAGTGTACCACTTCTTGCTCCCAATGATGTAGTTGCTTCTAGTAGAGCACCACTGATAAAATCTGAAAGTGAAGTCCTGCATAAGGTAGCACGATACTCAGCAGGGCTTTGAATACGTGGTTTTATGCAAGAGCCATTGCCTTTGCAACAGCAGTTTGCATGGTGTGCTAGTGGTTCCCTCACACAGTGGGAAAAATATTCCAAAGTATCTTCTGCTCCTTTTGCTAACTTGAAGCTCTGTCAAAAAACAAAAGAGGAAAAGTTTGTGAGCAAATAAAGTTAACCACGGCATGCTGCATTTTCAAACAGTTAAGTAATCTACCGTCCTCAAACACTTTACAAGTTTTGGAATCCAAAACCAATTGGAGTCAAGGTCAAACAACATTTTAAAAGATTGCTAATAGACTGTTGGAAGAACACAACTTGAGAATATATTGGTCATTACACCAAAAGGGAGGATTTGAAGACAGAGAGAGGTGTTCAATGGCAAATTTGGCCTGGTCTCCACATACGACATAATGATGTGGACTGTTAGGGTTGTCAGCTCTGGGTTTGGAAATTTCTAGAGATAGGGGGGTGCAGTATGGGAGGGGCATCAACAGGGTATAATGCCATATAGTTCATCCTCCAAGTCAGACAGGAGGGCCTGGTGTGACATGGTCCATGGGGTCATGAAGAGTCGGACTTGACTGTGCGACTGAACAACAACAACCAAGCCAGCCACTTCCTCCGGGGAACTGATCTCTGTTGTACAGAGACCACTTGTAATTCTGGGAGATCTCTAGGCCCCACCGGAGAATGGCCATCCTGTGGATTGTACTATTTCAGACTATGGGTGAGGGATAGAATCACAGAATCATAGAGTTGGAAGGTACTTCCAGGGTCATCTAGTCTAACCCCCTGCACAATGCAGGATATTCACAAATGCCTCCCCCTCCACACCCGCAGTGACCGCAGTTCCACGCCCAGAAGATTTTTTGAAATTCTCCTAAATTACATTTTTTGAAATTCTCCTAAATTACAATTTTCTGTTAGTGGAAAACTAAGCATACATAGATAGGCCAGAATCTTTCGCTACAATTAGCAAATTCGTTTTGGCCAGTATTTTTACATGAGAGAAGCGTTAAAAATGTCACACACACACACACCCCTTTTGCCCCAGTCAAAAAAGGCCCATTTTGCCCCCTTGTTTTGCTGCATAGGCCGGATCTTAGAGACAGTGTGTGAGAAAGGACACCATAATTTAAGAGAGCAAAAGAAAAACAGGTTGCTGACCTGTAACCCGTGATCTTCGAGTGGTCATCTGTGCATCACACCAAGGTTGTGATGCACAGAGACCACAAAGAAGATCCTCAAGAGCCTGAAGATGACAGAGCTGAAGGAGTGAAGGTGCCCAGCAGTAATGTGCCAAGAGAAGGGCAGAAATATAAGTAGGGATAAACCTGAAGACAACTTTAAAGCTAAGCACAAAGAGTTTTTGTTAGCTAGTGGAAGGGTTGCGAAGCACAAGCATTTGAGCAAGGTATTTACATAGCCTGAGAGATTAATGATTTTGGCAACAGAGTTCTGGACAGTCTCATTAAGCATCATTTTGTCATCTATAATGAAGTTAATTGTCTGAACGGTTAATACCACTGTACACTTCTACAGGTCCAGTCCCTCAGAGGAGGCATTGTATATTTACTGAAACTCAGAACCCTGCCTTTAGGGTTGCCAACTCCAGGTTGGGAGATTCCTGGAGATTTGGGGTGGAGTCTGGGGAGGGTGGGGTTTGGACAGGAAAGGGACCTCAGCAGGGTATAATATCACAGTGTCAACCCTCCAAAGCAGCCATTTTCTTCAGGGGAACTGATCTCTCCGTTGTCTGGAGATGAGTTGTTATTCCGGGAGATCTCCAGACCCCTACCTGGAAGACAGTAACACTACCTGCATTCCCTACAAACAAATCCCAAAGCAAAAGCAAAAAAAAAATCCAGAAGTTCGATATTGCTTCAGAAAGAAGGGTACAAGAGCACAGGAGTGTCTTGTTCATTTGTCCATTTGGACTGATGGCTTTATACAAAACATTTCAATTAGTGCATGTCAACCTATAAAGAATTGCATTCAGAACTCCTTAGGAAGGAGTCACCTCTAGAACGGTTATTATTTAATGAGTTGAAAGACAGCATCTGTGATTCGTAGTGTTGAGACAACCTGACCTTTTAAAAAGCCTTTCTTCTTCACATTGCAGTGCACCAAGTGAGCTCCTCGGTCAATCAACACCATTAATCAAGCTCAGCATTGATAGCAGATATGGGAGTATTAACCACAGTAAAGACACAATTTGGAACCATTTATGTAACAGTATGCTGAAGAACAACTGCATGACACCTACTAGCTTTCTGAAATTTAAACTGCTGTATTTTCATAGTACTTTATTTGGTATTGTTTGTTATGGTTTTTTCCCCCTTCATTCATGACACACATCTTTGAAAAGCAGCATGTTTAAGATTGGAGGGAGGGAGATTATATCTTTCAGTTCAGGAGATGACCTAATTTTTCTCATTTACTTCTAAAAAGGTGTATTGTTTAATATCCATTTAGATAACTATGAATGCCAGCACTTAATTTCAACTGCAATGTTCCTTCAAATGCATAAACACACATTTCAGGAAATGTTGCCTCAAGTCAATGGATTGCATGGCATCTAGACTGCTAGAGTCTGCTGTTTCCCAATACCAAGCAACTGTTCTGCCACCAAAGTGAGCCAACACATTTCTTCATCAGATTATCTATGATGGGGAACTACTCTATATACCACCTGCTGCTTCACACAGCAGGTTCCAGCCTCTTCTTGCAAGCAGGGATGTGAAGGACCACAAAACAACTAGAAAGGCTGAGGAGACATTTTTCTATTCCCCACTGAGGACTTTTTTGTCCATTTTCCAGTGGAAAAATTAGAAATTTGGGGGAATGTTGAAAACAAGACTTATATTAAATATTTTCTATTTTAGAGCAAATAAAACACTATTTTAAGACAAGGTTCTACTCTATCAAAATGCTCTCTAACAATTTGCTATGAAGTATACACTATTTTCATGCATAACATACATTAAATAACGGTAAATCCTATGTTTAACGTAGACATTTGCAATATGAAAATCTAATGCAGCAAGTCCTGAACTATAGTTTTCAGTGAGTTATCTACTATGACTCCAAGATCTCTCTCTTGGTCAGTCTCTGTTAAGTTCAGACCCCATCAATGTGTATTTATAGTTAGGATGTTTGGCTCCAATGTGCATCACTTTGCACTTGGCCACACTGAACCCCATTTGCCATGTTGATGCCCACTCACCCATCCTCGACAGATCCCTGTGGAGTGCCTCACAATCCTCCCTGGTTCTCACCGCCCTGAACAACTTCGTGTCATCCGGAAATTTAGCCACTTCACTGCTTACTCCCAACTCCAAATCATTCATGAACAAGTTAAAAAGCATCGGACCCAGTACTGATCCCTGCGGTACCCCACTGCTTACCACCTTCCACTGAGAAAATTGCCCATTTATACTCACTCTCTGTTTCCTATTAATTAGCCAGTTTTTGATCCACAAGAGGACTTGTCCTTTTATCCCGTGACTATTGAGCTTACTTAGGAGCATTTGATGAGGAACTTGATCAAAAGCTTTCTGGAAGTCAAGGAACACAACATCTATTGGGTCCCCCTTGTCCACATGTTTGTTCACTCACTCAAAGAACACTAACGGGTTAGTGAGACAAGATCTTCCCCTACAGAACCCATGCTGAGTCATGGAGGATCATGAGGGCAGCGATGGCTTTCTCTTTGAGGAGGAGGAATTAGAAGCCCCCCTTACCGCCAATCCCAGAGGAAACTCTGACAAGATTGGCCAGATTCGACACGGAGCCGCTTCTTGCCACCATGACTGAACACCTGGCCCACAGAAGTGGTTGGAACTGCAAAAGTGCACCCAAAAGTGGCGCCATTGCCAAATGCCAGCAGAGCCCGCGGCCTCCTTGTCCCCCAGCACTGACTGGCGGCCACTTTAATCGCCCAGACGGGGGCTGCAGAGTGGGTCTCCCCACATCCATAAGCTCTTCGGTCAATGCAGGGCTTGGCGGGAATAATCAGAAGCAATGTTTGGAGGCAGCAGCAATGAACACAGTGCCAGGGCCCCATTCTGATGACAGCTCACTGGGTCTACTCATGAGTAAAGTGCAAGAAGCCAGGCCCTCTATTCTTTCTTCTGATTTTCTTGCCCTCATTAGGCAAACTATGCATGAAACTGAAAGTTTCTGCCATGGGGGAAACCTTAGAATAGACAGAACCCGATCCATAACCTTCCCCTCCCCTTTCCTCACCCCAATAGGGTGGTTCAGAAAGGTTGTCTTCCTGTAAAGGAGGGCTTCAATGGCCCACTAAAGTGGCTTGGAAGGAGTCTTCTAATAGGAAAAGAGGAAGAGATAGTTCACAATGGGAGCCAGACACCTCTTCAGATAGCAATCCAGAGGAAAAGGAGGAGGGAACGTTTCTTTCTGGCAAGGAAAAGGATGAGACAGCAATTGCTGAGCAGTCAGTCAGATTCTTTAAGCCAGAAGATTATCAGTATCTATTATCTTAGACTTTGGCAGCCCTTGAGCTCCAAGAGACCCACTGTGGAGAGGAACTGGTTTCCACACCTTCATATCACAAGAGCAGACCCAAAGGGAATAAGGAATTCTTCCCTGGATCTAGTGTAGCTGTTATGTATTGGGGCTGGAACATCCCAGGACTGTCTACCAGAGACTGGCTGAGCTTGGAGCTCTAGAACAATAGCCCACCAGGACTCTGGAGGTGACCAATGAGGAATTAATGTTATGTAAATAGCCTATCGTTGGGAGTTGGGTGTGGTTGGGTGTGGTGTTTGCATGCTGTTTGAAAAGGGCTGTTGCCCTGGTCTTGTATCTGCTGAATCACTAATAAAGCTGAGCTGATCACTAGATTTAGGGTCTGCTCATCCATGGAACCCAGTATTTAACAGTAGCTGAGAGGGTTTTTCCATTCCCTGAATTCTTTGAAAAGCAGTTAAAGGCTGAATGGGTTAAACCTATGGCTAAGAGGCAATTTCCAGGATTCATTAAGAAATTATATGCCTTACAATCTTTCATTAATGCATTTTTGGGGTTCCTTTGGTAGATGACCCAGTCATCACATTGCAGTCCTCTGGACTTTTATCAGAAGATGGCCAAGGCTCTCTCTTCAC